GGGGAATAGAGTGAGACCTTGATTATATAAAAAAAGATCTTTTTTGTAGTAAAAATCAAACTTCCTCATAAATGCTGGCTCTGGTCCTCCCTTATAGTTTCACATAATATGTTAACTCCTCTTCCTCAGTTGAATCTTAAAGTGTTCGAAAAGGTCTCCTCTATTCTTCCCCTACCATCTATCCCAAGCCAGGCTAAATACCACACTTCTTTCAACCCTTCCTCATCTGACATGGTTTCCAGAGTGTTCATTGGCTGAGACTCCCTGAGTCTGGTTTGGCAGGGTCACTCTTAACATATGGCACCAAAAATGGAACACAATATTCCAAATGTGGTCTGACAATTCAACACTATTCAAAAAAACATGTATTGAGTGCCTTCTGTGCTCTAGACTAATATTTTTCTTGATCTTGACTATACTTCTATTAAGGCATCCTAAAAACACATTAGCTTTGTATGTTTTAATCTACTTCATACAATCAGGACAGAAATGAGACCAGATTCTGTTATCTAAATGATCAGTTTATTCCTCTGCTGCCAATTCTGTAGATATCACAGCGTATTGGGACAATCAAAAGTTCTGAACCATGTGTACCTGGGTGGACCCTGTCACTTACCAGCTGAGTGACTTAAATCTGGAAAATCACTGGTTCTCTCAAAACTTCTCATCCAAGTCTCTGATAAAAATAGTTTTAAAAAGGCAAAGCCAATGACAGGTTTGTGTGGCACAGAAGATTATCCTCTAGACTGACAATCTACCAATCCAGTTAGAGAGTGATTGCCTGTCATGCCTCAGGAATGGAAGATGAGATGCTCTAGTTAGTGAAGGAAAAAGAAAGAGAAGCACTAGTCCTGTGCCAGCCACATCACATGTGTTATCTCATGTCATAATAATCTTGTAGGAGAGTATATTATTTTCACTGAGAAAAAAATTGAGGAACTAAGTAAGTGAAGTTCCTAAGACCACACCAGTAATGAGTGGAGGATCTGGATTTTAACACAGTGCTGTTTTAACTCCTGTTCCCAACCATTACATGTGAGACTTGAGCCCAGGAAGAAGTGTGGTCAAGATGGCTTGGTGGCTTAGGAGAGGCAGAAAGGAGTATGCAGGGTGGCACAAGGAGTATGAAGCCAGAAATAAAGCTAGAAAGATTAAGTTGAGGCCAAATTACAAAAGGTCTTGAATTCCATACTAAAGAATTTGAAGTTCAATTTGCAGGTTATTAAAAATCAACCCCCACTGGTTATGATTAGCAAAACAGTTCAAATATTTGAAAACTAATCTCACAGATAATGATAAGGGCTTTGGAGACAAATAAAGCAACTTAATAGATCATGTGTTGGGGATATTATTCTAGATAGCGTTGAGATGGAAGGCTTTCTGAACAGAAGTGATTTAAGTCAGGGAGAGAGTGATACAAGTATCTCAGAGAAGAGCATTTCAGGTTGAAGGACTCTACATTCAATTGGCATATTCATGTTTGAGAAGCAAAGAAGGTCAGTTAGGCTGGAAAAGAATTAACACAGGGCAGGGCAAGGGGGTAGGAAATAAAAAGAGCTCTCTTCTCTCCTTTTTTGGGGGGAGAGGAGGTTGTTTTTTGAATTCCTTTTGCATCTACATTTAGGATCACACACTCTACCTATTCACTATCCATTCTTCTCATACCACAAGATAAAGAGGCAAAAATATTGTCACAGGTTTCCAAAAAGAATTTGGAGGCAGAGAGGAGAAGGAATGATGTATTCTCAAACCAAATACTTGATAAAATTCTAGAATAGATAGTAATGTTTGGTTTATGAGTGTTAGCTAAGAATTAGAAGCCAAAATGGGTTTAAGTGTGCCAAACTAGTCTTTTTTTGGATAGTTATAAACTGGTATTTTAGGGAACCATAAATTTAATGTATTATGATTTCAATAAAGTATTATAAAAATAATACATTGAGTCATATTACTTCCTGCTCTGCTCAAAACCCTGTCCAATGGCTTCTCATTACACTAAGAATAAAATCCAAAATCCTATATGATCTTATTGCTAGCTCTTTTTATTTCCTACCCCCTTGCCCTGTGTTAATTCTTTTCTAGCCTAACTGACCTTCTTTATGTTTCTCAAACATGAATATGCCAATTAAATGTAGGGTCATTCAACCTGAAATGCTCTTCCCTGAGATACTTGTATCTCTCTCTCCCTGACTTAAATCACATCTGTTCAGAAAGTCTTCCATCTCAACACTATCTTAAATAATATCCCCAACACATGATCTACTTAGTTGCTTTATTTGTCTCCAAAGCCCTTATCATTATCTGTGAAATTAGTTTTCAATCATTTGAGCTGTTTCACTAATCATAACCAGTGAGGGTTGATTTTCAATAACCTGCAGACTGAACTTTAAATTCTTTAGTATGGAGTTCAAGACCTTTTGTAATTAGGCCTCAACTTAATCTTTCTAGCCAAAACAAAAGAACTTGGAGAGAAAAGAGGAAAGAAGCAACCCAAGTGGGTGCATGGGACACATGAAGGGGTCAAACTGCCAGTGCCTGCTGGGGAGATATTTTTAAAATGACATACAGACTGAGTTCCATAGAAATCATACTCTGTTGTTTCACCTAAAGTCTGAAAGAATACATACAAAAATGGTAATGCTTATTCTGACTAGATGGCAAGATTATGACTGAATTTTTCTCACATTTTTGGTAAATTTTCTATACTATTATTATATCACTTCTTTAATTTAAAATAAATCTGTTGAAAAAGAAAGTTACACAGGGGCATTTATTTATTTTCCAGAACAAGTAAAAGTCAAAATAATCACAAATCTTGTAATACTGAAATTGAAATATTGAGAAACTGAAATTAGTCTCATGTAAAGATTTTTCTGCTTAAAATTATACAAAAATGGGGCAACCCTCTTCCGGGTCCCCTCTCACTGCTGCCTAGAGTTTTCCTATCTTCTAATAAATTCCAACTTACTCTCCAAAAAAAAAATTTTACAAAAATGTACTTTTTTTTTTTAAAGAATGAAGATTGTAGAACCCAGAGGAAAGATTACATGATCTGGAAGAGCTAATTCTGGCAATTTTGCAGTGCTGGTGGGTTTTGTAGAATGTAAAACTGGATGGTGGAAGTTAAAGAGTCCAACCAAACGAGAACTCACTGAGTGAGCATCCTGTACTGTTGCTCAGGTCTGCTCCTGGAAAGGGTGGCTTGATGGTCTCAATCTAACTCCTGTAATAGGTCCAGAAACCTAGCTGTGCCACATGAAGGAGAGAGCACAAGATTCTTTTAAGGAAAAAAGTCACAAAACAAGTATACGTATATAGATACATACATATATACAAAAACTAATCTACAAAAGAAAGTACTTGATAGTACTTTCCTCTCAAAAAACATTTTCAGTGGTTAGGCTTTAAGATATTTCACATTTTTTTAGTACACTCCCTTTAAAATTGTGACTTTTTTATATTTCAAATTTTCCCTGAGAAAAATGAGGTTTATTTTGAACCTTTATTATCCCTTTTCCAAACTCCTTACTATGTGTACCCCAAAGTTCAGGTGTGGAAAACTTAATTCCCAATGCAACAGGTTGGGAACTGGGGCCTAACAAGAAGTGATTAGGTGATGAGGGCTCTGTCCTGATAAATGGATTAATGCTATCAAGAGAGTGGGTTTGCTATAAAAGCGAAATTAGCCTCTTCTTGCTCTCTTGCCCTCTCTTTGCTCTTCTGCCATGGGATGATGCAGCAAGAAAGCCCTTGCCAGATGAAGTCCCTTGATCTTAGACTTCCCAATTTCCAGAGTCATGAGCCAAATAAATTTCTATTCTTTTTAATTTGTTCTTTACCAAATCTCAGGTATTGTGTTATAGAAGCACAAAACACACTAAGACACCCCTTAGGACTCATTCTATCAGTTACTTCTCTAAGACAGAACTCTATTAATTGACATCAACAGATGCTAAATCAACAACAGTGTCCCAGTTCTTATTTACTATTGACATAAAACTCTAGTTGCCTTAAATACAAATTCCACTTTAATATTTATCTAAGAGGATGACAATAATTGCTTAGAGGCAAGAAATTTCGTTTATTGATTTTCTTTTTTTTTTTTCTCTCTTTTTGATACAGAGTCTTACTGTGTCACCCAGGCAGGAGTGCAATGGTGTGATCCCAGTACAGCCTCAACTCCTGGGCTAAGGCAATCCTTCTTCCTTGGCCTTCTGAACACCCAGGATTACAGGTGTATGCTACCATGGCCAGCTTATTATTGTTTTTTTTGTAGAGACAAGTTCTCGCTATGTTGCCCAGGCTGGTCTTGAATTCCTGGTCCCAAGTGATTCTTCCACCTCACCCTCCCAAAATGCTGAGATTACAGGTGCAGGCTACCGCACCTGGCTAGTTTAGACACTTTTAAAAAAAATTCTGTCTTTATCATCTCTGTTCAAAGCCATGGCCAGGTTCGGTGGCTCAGCCTGTAATCTCAGCACTTTGAGAGGCCAAAGCAAGAGGATTGCCTGAGACTGTAGGTTCAAGACCAGCCCAGGCAACTTGGCGAGACCTCTCTTTACAATAAATAAAAAAAAAATTAGCTGGGCATGGTAGCATGTGCCTGTAGTTCCTGCTACTTGGAAGGCTGAGGCGGAAGGATTGCTTGAGCCCTGCCGGTCGACGCTGGGGTGGCCATGAGCATGTCACTGCAGTCCAGCCTGGGTGATGGAGTGATACTCTGACTGAAAAAAAAAAAAGCCTAACATGGTGCTAAATAAAACCATATCAGATTTTGTAAAGGATGCCTTTTGATGTTAGAAAAACTCCAGCTTCCTTCAGTAAGAATAATGTCTAAATATGATTCAAATTCAAATAATTAACTATAAAAAGACATATACTTTACCTAAATGCTTTAGTGTTTTAAAAATATTATCCCTGATAAATTTGTCTCACAAGATAATCCAGTAATTAAAATATTTTGCTTTAGTAATACATTCACTAGAACATAATATACTCACTGGAAGGCTTAGGAATTCATTAAAGTAGTCCACAAGGAAATTATCTGTTGCCAAGGAATTTTCCTGCAAAAATATAAAAACACAATACTATGATTATACTAAAATGTTTTAAAACATGTCTATATCATTCTGCTATCAATTTATTAACATGTACATTTTCATATCTTTTTTAGTCAGTCAACATTGAGCCCACACTATAAACAGAACGTAGTTGTACAGTCTCTGGAAGAAAGAAGTACAAAAATAGAATTGAGTATGCTCTTAAAAGACCTTGCTACTATGCTTAGTTGGAAAACAGAGCACATGAAAAGTATAGCACAACACTTATAGGAAACATCAACAAATACAAAATAAAACACGTTACATTTTCCAGAAACTTATTAAATATATATATGCCTTAAAAATAAAGACACAGAGCCGGGCTCAGTGATTCAGCCTGTAATCCCGTGCCTTTGGGAGGCTGAGGTGAGTGGATTGCCTGAGCCTGCGGGTTCGAGACCCACCTGAGCAGCGAGACCTCATCTCTACAAGAAATCAAAAAATCAGCCGGGTGTGGTAGCGCGTGCCTATAATTCCGGTGACTTGAAAGGCTGAGGAGGAAGGATTGCTGGAGCCCAGCAGGTCGAGGCTGCGGTGACCGGGAGCGGCCACTGCACTCCAGTCTGGGCGACAGAGTGAGACTCCAGCTCAAAAAAAAATAAAAATAAAAACAGAAGCAGTGCTTGCAGTTAAAACAAAATTGAAAATGTAAATTTCTTAAATTACGCAAATAGAAAGGCTAACCTAAGTGAAAAGAATGTTCTCCTCAGATGAGATATAGTTTTCATACTCTAGATCCTGTTTCACACTTTTGCATAAGGAAATTTTGACAGTGCATGTGTTCTAAGCATAAAGATGGTATATATTTTTTCCATAACCATCTCATCCACCAACATAGCTACTTTTCAAATTGGCAAAATTGAAAGGCCACTGCCAAGAACAAAATCTCTCTTCCAAATCATAAAACACCTTATTTTATTAGTAATTGTTTCCATTGTGTCAAAAGCATATCATGGCACACTGTTGTATAGTACATGTGTTTATTTTGTTATTCATAATTATACTTCAATTTTGTAAATCTAACATGAAAGCTGACAGACAATATGACACAATGCTATTATTTCCATATGGCTGATTACTTTCTTCTTAAACTGGCCAATTTTTAAAAATGTATTGAAGTATAGTGCTATAAGGAAGATGCTATATTTACATCTACTTTGGAAAATAGATTTCCAGGGTAATTTCTCTGGGTAATCGCAGTGTCAGAAGAGAGTTATAAACAATCAATTATAGAATTTATATCAAGGAACTTATTAGAAATCTCAACTGTTTAAAACAACAAAGAATTTAGTTTACTGAAAATCTCAACTGATTAAAATAACAGCAAACTAAAGATTTAATAAACCTACTATCTTAACAGTGGCACCTTAGAAGAATATGCTCAAATAAAGTTCTGATTGGCGAAGGCTTAACAAAGTAAAGCAAGACAGATATCCTTCTGGGGGAAGCTATAAGGCAAATAACCTTTCAAACTTTATCTTTCAAGATCAATGTAATTTTCTGCCCTGTTTTTAGTGAACTATCTTATTTTTGCTTTTACGAGAACACATCTGAGTTCAATAAATATTTTTTAATATCTTCTAGGTAGAAGGCATCGTGCCACAATAAGGTGGGGGTCAATTTTTTTTTTTCTGAGTTGGAGTCTCACTCCATTGCCCAGACTGGAGTGTAGTGGCACACTCATGGCCACTCCAGCATCGACCTGCTGGGCTCCAGCAATCCTTCCACCTCAGCCTTCCAAGTAGCTAGAACTACAGGAATGCACGACCATGCCCAGCTAATTTTTTATTTATTGTAGATACAAGGTCTTGCCAAGTTGCCCGGGCTGGTCTCGAACCCACAGGCTCAGGCAATCCACTTAGCTCAGCCTCCCAAAGTGCTGGGATTACAGGCTGTGCCACCAAGCCCAGCCCAGACAGATAATTTTATAAAATACAGTAAGAATGTATTTTTAGAAAACTACATAAAAGACATACATTGCAATTCCAAATTTATTTTTTGTTTTGTTTTGAGTCTGGGTCTCACTCTGTCACCCAGGCTGAAGTGCAGTGGTGCAATCATGGCTCACCATAGCCTCAAACTTTGGGGCTCAAGAGATCCTCCTGCTTCAGCCTCCCCATTAGGTGGAACTACAGCACATGCCACCATGCCCGACTAATTTTTTATTTTTTTATGGAGACAAAGTCTCGCTATGTTGTCTAGGTTGTTCTCAAACTTGGACTCAAACTGTCCTCCCATCTCAGCCTCCCACAGTGCTAGGATTACAAGCGTGAGCCACCGTGTTAAGCCACAATCCCAATTTTTTGTTAAATTCGACAGATACAAATATACTCTGTTGGCTGGACACAGTGGCTCAAGTCTGTAATCCCAGCACTTTGGGAGGCCGAAGTGAAGGAACTGCCTGAGCCCATGGGTTCGAGACTAGCCTGGGCACCTTGGTGAGATCTCATCTCTACAATAAATCAAAAAATTAGCTGAGTGTGGTAGCGTACGCCTGTAGTTACGGCTACTTGGAAGTCTGAGGCGGAAGGATTGCCAGAGTCCAGGAGGTCAACGCTGGGGTGGCCGTGAGCACTCCAGCCCAGGCAACGGTGAGTGTCCAACTCAAATAGATAAATAACTCTGTCAAAAATGCCATAAAGTTTCTAAATGTTTACTCTCAATTTCAAATAAAGTTCTGATTGGCGAAGATGGCAAATTGCTCATCTTGCCACGAACTTATGAGTTCTCAGGTGGCACTGGTAGCACTGCCCTAACCCCTTGGTGACTCGACATTTCCTAGGCATTCAGTCACAGCCTTGGGTTTGCAATTATAGACAACCACGGAAACTTAACGTATTATTCAAATACAGCGAAATCTGTATTTCTTTCCTGAAATCGTGTCTTAGTTACTACCAATATTAAACAAAAGCAATTCTGTAGAAATGGGGCAATTCTACAATGAGAAGCAGTGTAGCCTCCAAATGCCATATGCTCAATCCTCAAGAGGCACTTGAAGTGGAAGGCCTGCTCTTACTAAATAAGTGAGCACATTTTCTAGTGAAATGTATGTAAGTCTCTGGTCACATCAGTAAGCAAACAATCTTGTAAACCCATGAGTATCTGATAAACCCTTATGCCCTAAACCCTTCCATTGAAAAAAAAAGCAAAACATTTGTAAAGGCCTTGAGCTGAAGAAGTAACAGTTACTCTCAAAAAGGTTCCACAGTTCAGTGATTTATCCATATTAACATGATCTATGTCTCCATACTTGGGTTCAACCTCTTCCAAATAATCAATAAACTGGTGATGGTTAACAGTACAATCAAGAAGAAAACTGAGTTACAATCAATTCCTCCATTACATCATTCCATAAACCTGACTGCAAAAACTGCAACACAGATTCTCTGCTGAATGACGCAATGGAAGGTAGGAACACTTCTTCAGAATTGAATATACTCTTGAAACCTGTTTTTTTAAGTATTACAGGTGTGCCATCTGTAAAAGTGAAGTCAGTTTTTCCATTTTTAGCACAACCTTCTAAAATTTCTTGCTGAAAGAGCATTAAGCAAAATAATTTATGTGTATCTAATTATGGTAAGCAAAAAAATTTGCTTAAAGTTATTTTGCTGCACTCTCAAATGTAGATAAACTACAATTTCTTCACAACGCTAAAAGATGTAAGATATATAAAGACCTTATAAACAAGAAAGAGGAAATAGAGCTTGAGGCTATGGTGAGCCATACAGACAAAAACCACAGTCTAAAAAAGAATGCAATACAGCCATAAGAGATTTACAATATAAACTGTTTTCCTCCAACAGAGGGAAAAATGTTACCTAGTAGGAGGAAATAGAAGAGACTCAAGTGGGAAAAAAACGGCATTTGAAATGCATTTAAAATAACTTCAAATTCTAAATATAAGGGGCAATAATGCAAGAAACAGAGAAATGCATGAGAAAAGAAGAGAGGTCAGAAAGCAAAACATAGGACAGTGGTTGTTATGTTTTAATGCACTGAGGAATGGGGAAGAACCAGCTGGGAAGGAGTTTGAAGAAACTTGCTGGAATTGTGGAAATGATCTATATATTGATCAGAGTTTCAATTACACAGGGGTATACATTTGTCAAAATTCATCGAATTATCACTCTAAATGTTTGCATTTCACAGTGTATATTTAAATCAACAAAAGAACCATAAGCTAATACTAACCACCAGTTCAACACTATTCATGATGAAGTGTTTAAGGGTGAAATTTATCGATGTCTGTAACTTACTCTGAAATGCATAAAAAAATAAGATGAGCCAGGCTCGGTGGCTCAGCCTGTAATCCCGTGCCTTGGGAGGCTGAGGTGAGTGGATTGCCTGAGCCCGAGGATTCGAGACCCGCCTGGGCAACTTGGTGAGGCCTCATCTCTACAATAAATCAAAAAATCAGCCGGGCGTGGTAGCGCGCACCTGTAGTTCCAGCTACTCGGAAGGCTGAGGTGGAAGGATTGCTGGAGTCCAGCAGGTTGAGGCTGCGGTGGCTGTGAGCAGCCACTGCACTCCAGTCTGAATGACAGAGTGAGACTCCAACTCAAAAAAAAAAAAAATAAGATGGACTAGTGGACGGATGGAGGGATAGACAAAAGGACAGAACTGTGAAAAAGCAAATGTAGCAAAATAATTATTGTGAAATCTCTGTGGTAGATATATCAGTGTCCACTACACAGTTCTTTCAATTATTAAATACTTAAAATTTTTCATAATATGTTGAGAGAGGGACCTTATGTGCAAGAAAAAAAGACCAAGTTTCTCTGCACCTTATGGACAGCTTTCTTAACCTCCTGTGTACTAAATGACAGATTCCAAATCACCATCATTGCCTCTAGAATAAATTGCTGGTTATCTGATTATCTTATGACCACTACCCTGGAATTCTATCCACTAAGGGTCAGACCCCTGGGACCTCTGGTTCCCCCTCCTGTCCACAGTACACCAAA